TTCAGATCCCCTACAGTCCCCAAATCCAGGACTTTTTCCATTCTACTACACTGCCTCCTTCTATTCTCTGGCCTCCAAACTAGCTTTCTAGCCTTATCTCTCACAGCTCCCTGACATCTACCCTGCAAAGTAGCCAAACTGGGCAATTTGCAGTTCCCCAAATATGCCCGGAGCTTTTCTGCCTCCTGCCCTTTGCCCATATTTGTCCTTCTACCTGGCATGCCCTCCTCTGCCCCCTTTCGCCTACTCAAGTCCTCCCCAGTCTTCAAGGCCCAACTTAGATGCTGCCTCCTCCATGAAGCCTGATACAATCCCTCCAGCCTTTAGTAACCTCTCCCTCTTCTGGGTCTGTTTGCACAGTGTTTGTGTTTCTCTGATAGCCCTGATTGCACTAATATGTGTCTGTGTACCTTATCTGCAAACACGTTAGCAAGGAGCAGCATCCTTTTGGGCCCCAAGGTGTTGCAGAAGGGGCAGTGCACAAGAAGGCAAAAGACCCGGGTTCTACACCACCCAAAACCTGGAATCCTGCCTCCCCATCGCCATCAACTTGCTTATTACTTGTGTTTCATCACCTCTCTGGGCCTTGTCTACAAAACAGGGATAATGATAGCTTATCTGTCTGAAGGCAGAAGGCTGGACAAGATGACAGGGATAAGGAGAAGAGGAGGTGGGAGTTTGTGAGCCGATGGATGGGGAAAGAATCAAGTCATCAGGAGCCTGGGATGACTGAGCATAGGAGAAAGTGAGTTCAGCTTCCACAGATTGTCACTGAAAACCCTGATGAGCTAGGAGGAAGAAGTGGCAAAGAACTGGGGGCAAGTGCCTGCCTGGGTCAGAGACCCACACTCAGCCCACTGGGGGAAGTCCAGTTGGATTCATGCTCAGTACTAGTGGTTTGGCCTCATTCAATGATACTGGGGAAGGTGATGAGGGACAGCTTGCCCATAAAAGCCCAGGCCTTCTGGTAACTTTGGTGCTATTATACTCTGGATTGTGGGGATCATGTACAACAAAAAGAGGACCTAGGTTCATCACTATGACCTTCGGCAAAGTGGCCCAACCTCTCCGGTCCTCAGTTTCATCTGCCAAATGAAGGGTCATATTAGATGTCCTCTAAGGTCCCTTCTAGCTCTACTTCTGTGATCTCATCATGTCATAAGGTCTCTTCTAGCTATAGGTCCTATGGTTCTATACTGCTCCAATGCCTGGAGCATGGTTCTGTCCTTGATTCTATACATGATCCAACCTGGATGCACATTCTTGCCATAGCAGAGATTGGGACTAATACTGGAGACCACTTTCCAGACCACATTCCAGGAGGAAGTCCCCAGATATTGCATCTGACTGGTTAGAAGGGGACCCAACAGATTGGACAGGTGGATAGGAACCCCTCCTTCATCTTCAGGTGCCAACAGCCTCCCCACTTCAGCCTGGTGGGGATCAAGCTTCTCCCACTGGTCTTCAGGCTCGCTGGTTTATATATATATAAATTCATATATAAGGAACCATGGGATTGTGGAATATCAGTTCTGGTAGGAACCTTAGTACACAGAATGTCAGAACAAGAAAGAAACTTAGAACATAGTATGTTAGTGTTGGGAAGGATTTTACAGGCTATCTGGGATAGCGATTCTCCATGTTTTTTTTTGTTTCAGACCCTCCTTTAGCAGGCTGGTGAAGCCTATGGGCCCTTTCTCAGAATAATGTTTTTAAATGCATAAAGTAAAACATATAGGATTGCAAAAGAAATGAATTATACGTATGTGTGTATGTATGTATGTATGTATACATACACATATATATATAGTTATATATTCTATGAATTTGTATATATGTGTATATGGACATACATATATATGGATATATGCAAGTACATGTGTATATATAGATGTGTGTGTGTGTGTGTGTGTGTGTGTGTATGTAGCTCACGTTTTAAGAACACTTGATCTAGTCCAACCCTGTCATTTTATGGGACAGAAAACTGAAGCCCAGAGAAAGGATGTAATTTGCCCTTATTATTTAAAAAAATAATAATAAAGGTTATATCTTGACCCCAGAAAAGAGATAAGGAAGTGCTTTGGTCCTTTCAGCAAAGAGGTGGGGGACTATGGGGTACGTAATGCTGTATACACTGTCACGTATGGTCACTATATCAATTGAATTCGTTGATATGTTACAAAGGAGAGCTCTTTGGTGGGGGTAGGGGGGTGTAAATCTAGAAAGACTATGAATCAAAGCAGTAGACATCAATAAACTAATTTTTTAAAAATAATAATAAAAGTTATATCAGATGGTGTTGAGCTGAGAAACAACACGAAAAGGGCGGGTGCTGATTCTTGGGCCTCAGATGTGAGGCCTGTTTAGGTCTCCATCTGCAAACAGCTCTGTACATTTAGCTAGGTACCCAATGGGGAGGGGAAGAGGAGTGAGAGATGGCTTCTGTCCTTTGCTTGGGTGACTGCCTAGAGCAGGGAGCTGAGCCCATGGGATCAATAGCTCTGCTCCAGCCCAGCCAACCTAATTAAACAGCCTTGGGGCCTGGGGATGGAAGGAGGAGAAAGCAGTAGCTAGGACCAAATCTGTAATTAAAGCTGTTCTAGCCACTTACCCTACTGGGGGTGCAGCTATCACCTACTCTAAGGAGTGGAGTGGAGTGGAGTCGATGAGCTGTTCCCAGGTTTCCCCACCCTAACCTGCCCTTGTCTCCACTCTTTGTCCCTCTTTGGCTCACTGGCCAGCAGCAACTGGCCAGTAGTTTCACTAACAGGAGCAGAGCTACAAAGCTGCTTCCTGTCCTCACCCTTGACCTCGGGGCCCTCTGGGCCCTGTGATGTCAATGGGCACGTGGCTGGGAAGGGGCCTGGCAGAGCCTGGTGAGGCCCATGTGATGGAGACTTATCAATTGGTGCCAGGCCATGCAGCTGGGGTAGGACGTACTCAGCTCACCCTCGTGCTCAGACATCCCCAGCCAAGCCCCAATGAGCACATGTTTGACGTGTCCCAGCAACAAGAGGGGAACACCAGAGTCAAGAGGGCAAGAAAGAAACTTGGGAGGAAGAGTCTGTGCCTTCCCTAAAGTAATAGCCGTGCTTGTTAAGTATGGCACAGAGGAAAGGGCAGGTGATTAGGGGTTGGGAGACCTGGTTCTGATCTCACCTCTGCTGCTTAACCTGCTTTGTGACTTGGGTGAGTCACATCCCATCTCTAGGCCTGAGTTTCCTCTGCCATTAAACCTGGAAGTTGGAATCAGTTCTTAACCTGAGGTCCACAGACAAGGAGCACATGGATAAATTTCAAGGGCTCTGTGAATATGGATAGGAAAAAAATAATACATCTTTATTTTTACTAATGTCTAACTGAAATTTAGCATTTCTTTCAATTATTTAAAGCATTATTCTGAGGAAGAATTCATCCACAAGGTTCACCAGACTGCCAAAGGGGCCCATCATACAAAACAGGTGAAGAGCCCAAGCTGGATAATTGCTAAGGTTAACTTCCACATCTGACATACAATGTTCTGTATCCTAAAGGCCCTTCAGCCTCTTCCATTTTGTGTTCCAAAGTCCCTTCTTAGGGACAGGATAGTATAGTAACTAGAGAGAGCTGCCCTCTGTCACGATTTGCCTGCGTGACCCTGGGGCAGGTCATGTCACTTCTCAGGACACCAGGCAACAATACACGTACCAATCTGCATGGATAGAAGGAGTTTCCTCTCTAGAAATTGCCAATACTAATGAAATCACGTCTGTTTAAAAAAAAAAGAAAAAGTTCCTCTCTGACTGTAAAATTCTGTATTCTATGTTCTTCGAGCTGTTCCAATTCACACACTGTGCCTTAAAGTCACTCCAGCTCTGACATTCAAGGATTTTATAACCATGTCTGGTGTCAATCTCTTGTAAAAAGAACTTACAATTTAATCTCTATCAAATCCTCCTGTATATGTATGCATGTATGCATGTATGTATGTATATGTATACATGTGCAAAGAGCATGTAATGTATGCTGCCTCTGAGGGCTGTATCTGTGTGATTTTAGTATGTGTGAAAGTGCACAACGTGTGTGTATAGTGATAGAGAGAGATGTCATTGGGATGATGGAAGCCTTGGGGAGGGGAAAGTCCATAGTCCTGGCTGTGCCCTTGGTTGGTTAGTCATAGAGTGGTTTAGTGGAGAAAGCATTGATTGTGGTGTTAGCATACCAGAGTTGTAGTCCTGGCCCCAATGATTTGCTTTATAACCTTGGGGACGTCATTTCACCACTCTAAACCTCAGTTCCCTTAACTGTAAAATGGGGGTAATAATTCATGCATTTTTCCTGCCTTAAGGTTGTTCTGAATAAAATACTTTATAATATTTAGAACACATGGATTGTTATTCTTTTCATTATTTCCTGAGTAAGTCTGGCTGAATGAGTGGGCATTGGTTCCCTGATGTGAAAATGGGGGTGGTAACATTTACCTCTTCCGTGGGATTAAAGGAGATAATATCCATGAGACACATGCAGCATCTCCTCTAGAATAGAAGACATGGGCATGTGATGCATCGAGGTTATCTGGTCTGGAAACAATTTCACCTAACAGTCAGAGACTGTCAGAGTCCTAGTCCTTGAACTGCTAGCTACCGCCTTTCCAGATCGTGATGGACAGGTTTCTTGGCCTCTCTGTGACTCAGTTTTTCCATCTGTCAAATAAAGAGGCCTGTAAGGTCATTTCTATTTCAGATGTTACAAGAAATATCTATTAAGTGTCTACTAAGAGACTGGGGGGTCAAAGACAAAATGAAAAAATATATATATTCCTTGCCCTTAAGAAGCTTACATTCTATAGAGAGGAATGTTCTAAGTCTATGAGTGTATGAACCTTAGCTCCATGAAAAGTTGACACTGGCCCTCACCCTGCCCACCTCCACCACTACCACCACCACCAACTGATACAGTCTCTCCTGTCTCTGGCTTATAGTCTATGGTACTTAACTGCAATCTTTCTCTCTTTGTTGCAGGCACTGTCCCCAACTCATTGGACCTCAGCGCTGGCCACATCTGTAAAACTTTGGACTTCTCCCAGAGTGGAGCAGACCCCAGTGGGTCATCAGGGACAGGGGGGAGTCCAAAGATCCAGGGGACCCCCCCGGCCCACAACGCCAGTTCCTCAGGGATGACTGCAGGGAGGGTCAACCCTTATAGTATAGTATCCTCAGAAGAAGACGGCTTGCATCTAGCCACGATGCCAGGAGCCAATGGCTTTGGCAATGGTAAAATCCACACACGCCGGAAGTGTCGCAACCGCTTTGTCAAAAAGAATGGTCAGTGCAACATTGAGTTTGCCAACATGGACGACAAGTCTCAAAGGTACCTGGCTGACATGTTCACGACATGCGTTGATATCCGGTGGAGATACATGCTGTTGATTTTCTCTCTTGCCTTCCTGGTTTCCTGGTTGCTCTTTGGAGTGATTTTCTGGGTTATCGCTATTGTGCATGGGGACCTGGAGAGATCCTCGGACGAGAGGAACTACAAGCCATGCATTCTCCAGGTGCATGGCTTCATGGCCGCTTTCTTGTTCTCCATTGAGACGCAGACAACCATCGGCTATGGCCTCCGTTGTGTGACTGAGGAGTGCCCCATCGCCGTGTTCATGGTGGTGGTACAGTCCATCGTTGGCTGTATTATAGACTCCTTCATGATTGGGGCCATCATGGCCAAGATGGCCAGGCCCAAGAAACGGGCCCAGACCTTGCTCTTCAGCCATAATGCCGTGGTGGCCATGAGAGACGGGAAGCTTTGCCTTATGTGGCGGGTGGGGAACCTGAGGAAGAGTCACATCGTAGAGGCTCACGTCAGGGCTCAGCTGATCAAGCCAAGGGTCACTGAGGAAGGGGAGTACATCCCCCTTGACCAGATTGACATTGATGTAGGTTTTGACAAAGGCTTAGACCGCATCTTTTTGGTGTCCCCCATTACCATCCTCCATGAGATCGACGAGGAGAGCCCACTGTTTGGCATCAGCCGACAGGACTTGGAAACCGATGACTTTGAGATCGTGGTGATCTTGGAAGGGATGGTGGAGGCCACAGCCATGACCACGCAGGCCAGGAGTTCCTACCTGGCTAACGAGATCCTCTGGGGTCATCGGTTTGAGCCTGTCCTGTTTGAGGAGAAAAACCAATATAAGATCGACTATTCTCACTTTCACAAAACTTACGAGGTCCCATCCACCCCCCGTTGTAGTGCCAAGGACTTGGTAGAAAATAAATTTTTGCTCCCAAGCACCAACTCCTTTTGCTATGAGAACGAACTGGCTTTCATGAGTCGGGATGAAGACGATGAGGAGGAGGAGGATAGTCGAGGTCTGGACGACCTGAGCCCTGAAAACAGACATGAGTTTGATAGACTGCAGGCCACAATAGCCCTCGATCAGAGATCTTACAGAAGGGAGTCGGAAATCTGACCCCTGCTGGTCCAGTCTCTTCATCTTCTCTTTTCCCCTACAATCCACCCAGGTTTATGCAGAACATTGTTAAGTGCCATAGGGATGGTTGAAGATTTTAGTAGTGTCTTAGTAGTTTCACATGTTTCATCGCAATAACCTTGGAAGGGTTGGCAGGGAGAGGGATAGGAAGTCATAAGCAGAGCCCTGAGGGTTTAGACTTCCAGCCCTAGCTGTCTGGAGCGTCTTTCCCCAAGATTCAGTGAGTGGGCTCAGAAGGGGAAAGGTAATGCCGCCCCCAGGGGCTGGACAGGGGCCTCATTCAGCACCCAGGGCTTTTCCCTTGGATACCTGGTAAGACAGCAAATAGCTCCTTGAAGTCCAAGGTCACAAAGAATCTCAGTGTTGTATAGCCTGGAACCTAATCAGGTTAGAACAGACTGAGAATTAACCTTATGCCTGGCCAGGAGACACAGTTGAGCTTGCCTGGGGATGGCAGCTGGGTAGGTGCGATGCTGCACGCTGGTTTTTAACTTAGGGGGGAGACATCAGGTTTTTAATTTTTCAACTTAGCGCTGGTGAGACTGTTTACAAAAAATATATATTAAATTAAAATATAATTCCAAAAAAGGACATTTTTTAATTAAAAAAAATGCCCATAACAGAGCAGAACAGCAGAACAGAACTTCCCTCCCCCCAGTGGAATGGAACAGCCAAAAGGAGGCCCCCAGCATCTGGCTGAAGGCAATCAGGGATACACTGGAAGACTTCCTGGGGCAAGAACTGTCTCTTTTTCCTTGAGAAGGCTCCATCCATCCCAGGGAAGTGGACGCCAGTTCCCACCTGTGGGGTCAGCAGCAGCAAGCACAATTATCTACACCATAGCTCATGTTGCTCATAAGGAAATGTAGATTCCATTTGTAATAGAAAAGCAAAACCATATTAATAACAATAATAAAAGCTAAAAAGTATGGTTGGGGGGGGAGGGTTGGGTCAGGGGAAGGGATTGGTCTAAGATCTCTTTGCACCTTAGAGATACATTTCAGTGTGAATCATACCCATCCCCCTTCGTGTGGTTTTGGAGGCCACCGCTCATTGTTTCTCTGAGCCTTTGGAAATGGTAGGGATTTGCAACGTTGGGTTTTATTTTTATATTTGTTTTCCTTATTTCTTAACTCAACCACCCAACTGTCTGAACCCCAAGAAATCCATGTTACATTTTGAGTTGAGCAAAAAATAGGTTATTGCTTACTCTATCTTGGTCTCCTGAGGCAGTGTGATATAATGGGAGGAATCTTGGATAAGGAGTCTGTAGACCTCTGACACTTGTCAGGTACATCACTTAATCTCTAGAGCCACGGTTTGCTCAGTCTGTAGAATGAGGGAGCTAGGTTGGATTATCTTCCCTGGTCTCATCTAACTCTAAAATCCTATGATCTTTCTTCAATAATTGGCAGTTGGGGGATTTGTGAATTGCCACCTTAGATAATCATGCCATGTGTGGAGGTGTGTCTGTCAAGATTCCCAAATAGCAGAAGGAAAACCAGGAGGGAAACTGATAAAATGGAAAAACCACACTCTGGTTCAAACCATCTTCACTCTCCAGGCACTTTGAAGCGGGTTGTGCGCACAAAGACGCTCAAAATTGTCCGGCTAAAGTTTCTTTTTACCTAACCATGATTCACCCTTTTTAAATGTTCCATGATGTACCTCCTTAAAAAAAAAATCTCATTCTTTCCCCTCTGCCACTCTTTATGTATCCCGCCTTCTAGGCAGTGACTGTGGCGAATCAGCAACCAAGCCACACACACACACACACACACACACACACACACACACACACACACACACACACAGCACTTTAGGGGAGGTTTGTGGGGAGGCCCAGTCCAGGTGTCCAGTGTGATGTTGGCGACTTGCCATCCCATCCTCTCTCTACCCCAGAATGCTGGCTATTTTAGAAAAAAAAAAAAGAAGAGAGCATGTATGCTATTCTCTGCCCTTCCCCTGGATGTCCTGGCAGAGGCATTTCCAATATCACCCATTACTAAGTGGAAAGGAAAAGAATTTAGGAAAGGAGGAGTTAGGTATCCTGGTCATCCCTAACTAACTTAGGTCGGGCAGTGTCATCCAGGGCTGCCCAGAAGTAGCAAGTAACCTGGCTCGATAGAAAGACAGATAGATTTGGAGTCAGAGGACCTGAATTCGAATCCTGATTCTGCCATTTATTGTCTGTGTGACCTTGGGCAAGTCTTTTTGCCTCTATGAGCCTCAGTTTTCTCATCTGTAAAATGAGGAATTTGGACTAGCTGCCCTCTGAGGTACCATCCAGCTCTCAAACCGATTCCCCCAAAATGTTCAGTGTTTATCCTTAAAGCCCCCTGCTAATTCTCTCTGTTCCCTGATCACCCTTCTAGTGCCTACTAATGTCCAAGTCTGATCACTTCAAGCAGACTTAGTATGTAACCTCCCCTGAGAGTGTTTGTATGTAATTTAAAAGAAGCACACAAGAAGGAGGCAATTCTCAGCCCAAATGAATGTATTTCTAGTAGAATTTGAGGCACTGGGGCCAGTGATAAATTTGGGCAGGGGGTTATTCCCAGCATCTATGTCAGTTGCCACTTCTTCTGTCTACGAACGAGGCCATTTATTATTCTCTGATGGACTTCCAGAATGAGCCAGCTGGCTGGCCACGGGAACCCTGAGATAGAGTTACAATGTTTCAGGGCTGGTGACCAAGTGCCATCTGGCCCAATTCTGGCCCAGGAGGCTTCGGAATCCAGACCCAGCAGAGCTGAGCCTCGCCATCCAGATTTCAGGAGTGGGAAAGGGTTTTCTTAGGTGACTGGAAGTCAGTGAGTAGACATTCCAAACCCTCCCACCTCGGAATGTTTGTTCTGGAGTTTGGCTTCATTTTCAACTTCTTCTTTCCCCCTGACTTGGGAAAAAAAAAAAAACAACAACCTGGAATGTCAGATCTTGAAGGAGTCTGAGAGGTTATATAGTCCATTCAACAGAAGAGGCTAATCAGGACCAGAGAGTTCAAGAGGCTTGCAAGTGGTCACACAGCACATTAGGGTCAGGACCAGGACTAGGACCTAGGATTTCTGGCTCCTGATCCACAATTAATTCAGTGCAGCTGACTTTTTTTTCCTTTTTTATTTTTTTAACAGGAGGGGAGGGAACAAAGGATCTGAGGGAAGGGGGAGGAGGAGGGTAGCATTTGCTTTCCCTTGCCAATCATATAGGGACAATCCATGTCCTTTCTCCATCTCCTTTCTCTCCAAGGCTCAGCCCTTGTCTCTGTTTCCACCTGCTTCTTTGCAGCCAATCTCAGACGCTTCTCCCCCTTGAGCTTCCCCATGACTGATAACCATATGACCCTGGACCCATCTTTGGTATTTCCAAGGCAGGAAATAGATGCCTGCCTGGTCTCACCCATTCCAGCTGTCTCAAGACCCAGGACCCTGCAAAGGCAGGCACTGACTTCCCACTTCCTTTCTACAGTCTGGGATAGCTTAAGCAATAGTAAGGGGTGGGAGCGGACATCTTGCGTGGGGGGAGGAGGGTGGGTGCAGAGGGACAGGCTTCTCTTATTTATTTTTTAACTGCTTTTAGGTTCTTTCCAAGGTGCAAAAATGCTGCTGTAAGTGTTCTTAGAGGCTTGATGATTTCTTAATCTACAAGATGTGACTAAAGAATAATAAGAATGATTTTTTGTTAAAGTAATAAACACACCGGAATTTATCCATCCAAATTTGATTCAATCCAACTGAATAGATATTTATTAAAGCCTACTTGGTGTTGGGGCAGCTAGGTGGAGCAGTGGTTAGAGTTCCATGCCTGGAGTCAGGAAGACTCATCCTCCTGAGTTCAGTTCTGGCCTCAGACACTTACTAGCTGTGTGACCCTGGGCAAGTCACTTCACCCTGTTTGCCTCAGTTTCCTCATCTGTCAAATGAGCTGGAGAAGGAAATGGCAAACCACTCCAGTATCTTTGCCAAGAAAATACCAAGTGGGGTCACAAAAAGACACAACTGAAAAACAACAAACTTAGTGTTGAGCATTGTGCTAGTCACTTGTGGGGGGAGACAAAGCTTGACTAAGTACTTGGGTTGTCCCCTTCAAGGCAGTCAGTCCCCTGGGAGGCCACCACTGCCATTTCTCCAGCCATCGTTGGTGCTCCTCTTTGGGACTCGCCATCAGAGCCAATTTATAAGCCAAGAAGAACCTTAGTTCATAGAATCATACATTGAGATCTGGAAGAGATCCTTGAGCTCATCTAGGCCAACCCTGTTATTTAATGGTTGAAGAAACTGAGGCCCAAAGAGTTGAAGTGACTTGCCCAAGGTCACACAAGTAGTGTATGAGAGCCAGGATTTGAAACCAGGTCCTCTGAATCCAAATCCACTGCTCTTCCTACTGTACCACAGTGCCTCTCACAACTTCATAGTCATCACGTGTGGTGCGATTGGGGTGGTATGTATGTGAGTGTTTTTAATCCCAAATAAGATTTCCCAGCCTGATCCCCAACCTTAATCACAAGTCTTGGTGTAGTAGGGCCATTAACTGTTTCAAAAAAAAAAAACAACGAAACATCAGGGGAAGGAAAGGGAGGAGGATAGAAGAAATTTGCCTCCCACAAGATGCCAAAGAATGTGGGGCACACTGTAAAGGCAGTTTCCAAAGTTGGGCACCCTCTGAATAGCTCTCCTTGGATTAAGGATCATTCAATTCAGTTCAGCAGCTTTGAAGAAGATTCACTCGGATGGATCAATTCTGGTCTGTTTCTTCAGTCATCAGCCTCCTTACCTCATCATCACCAGCCCTATCTCATGGTGAATATTTGTTTAAAGAGATATAAAAGAGAGAGAGAGAGAGAGAGAGAGAGAGAGAGAGAGAGAGAGAGAGAGAGCGCTTTAAGTAAATTATTGCTTTTTAAAGTTTTGATTGTATAGTCTGAACTGAAATAGAATTTTATATATATATATATATATATATGTATATATATATATATATATGTATATACAAATACATATATGTGTATGGATGGATGGATTTTTAACTTCTGGGATAGATGCAAATTTGTCTGTGGGCAAGGTAGGCCAGCCTGATACCTGTCTTCCAATCTTGATTTTCATCTGTACCTCTTTCCCAAAATGGAGCACACCAAACTGGGAAGCAATGGTCCTATATAATGTGTAGTTCTAGAAATGGAACATGATGTCATATGATGTAGAAATCTGAGAATGAATATTGGGGGCAGGAGGGGGTTACCTGTGAGATAGAGTTTCTGAGTAGGGGAGAGAGAGAACCAATAGTATGATCATCCTAATTAAAGGTTTGGCTGAAGGAAGTGTTCTGGATTATTTCTCATTAGGCTAGAATTGACAAGCCATTGATCAAGCCAAGGAAAGGAGCCTAACCTTTGAGAGGCATAGCCTAGAGGTAGGGCCAAAGCCTGCCCTTGGGCAAAAGGCATTATTGTTTTTTGTTTTTTTGGCAAGGCAATGGGGTTAAGTGACTTGCCTAGGGTCACACAGCTAGTAAGTATCAAGTGTCTGAGGCCAGATTTAAACTCAGGCTTTCCTGAATCCAGGGCTGGTGCTCTATCACTGTGCCATCTAGCTGCCCCTATCATTGCTTTAAAAAAAAAGAAAAACACATGATGGCCCACCTCTGTTCTACACTTCCTTGGATACCAAGGCTCTGGTGAATTCAGACTTGGGGCCCCGATATCCATGACAACTGTCCGAGAACTAGTCACATCCTTTTTCAGAGAGAGTCAGTTTCTGGGAAAGAGGAAGGAAGGAGTTCTGGGATTCATAGACTTTGAAAACTAGAAAGGGTCATCTAGTCCAGCCCCTCATTTTACAGAGGAAGAAACCAAGGCTCAGAGAAGGGGATTAACTTGTTCTAGGTCACCCAATTGGTTAGGGGCAAAGCTGGCAATAGTGTGCTATCTCTTAATTCCCAGTTTATTCCTACACCTTATTCCTAACTATTGCATACAAGTTAGACCTAGAGACACAACACCACCATTTAAAAGATCTAGTGCAGAGTTGAGCTACCTAGAAATATTTGGGCTTTTGCCAGTGGCAAGTTTATCCTTTTTCCGAAGAGGGCACAACAATTATCAAACTCAGCCCCTGTGATACCCTTAACTCTAGTAAACCTAATCAACCTAGCAATTTAACATTATGGGAATTCACTTGCCCTCTGAGTCTCACCTTGGCCTTGAGAATCAGGAAACCTGGTTCCAAATTGGCCACTAACTAGTAAATCACTTCCCCTCTTAGGGTCTCAGTTTCCTGTTCTGTAAAATGAGAGATTGTACTAGATTGTCTCTAAAGTCCCTTCTAGCCCATGTGGCCTATGTTCTATTATCCTAGTTCAGAAATCCAACACACCTTTAGTAAGCACCTTCTGTGTACCCTATAATGGATGTGGGGGAAGACAGAAAGACGTAATCCTTTTTTCCCTCAAAGAGTTTATAGTCCTGCCAAGAAGGGGTAACTACTTTTTACATTCTCCAAAAGAGAGTGGAAGCCTTCAGGTTTCAATAATGGTAACTTTTTCCATGGTGCCCTTATCTCCTGGCTTCCTCTCACAAAGAAAAGAGACAAGACTCAGGCAAACATTTCCTCTCCAACTATTCCCTGTGTTTATAAAGGGGATGGTGGTATGGTCACCATGCCATTCAAAATCCCCTCCCAGGAAGTGGCTGCATCTATTTTTGGCATTAGTTGGTAATGAACTGGAAAGGACCATCAATTTACAACTTCTTCCCAACTTAATTCTCTAATTACATCCATTGAGCATGGATTACAATCCCACCTGCCCATAACAGACTACATACCACCAATTAACATCAGCACTTCCAATGGAACTGCCACTTCCCTGTCTCCTATCGAGGCAGCCCACCCATGTCAGGACTTTCCCTTGCTCAATTGCTCCAGTGAACCCCTCAGCAGCCCATGGAAACCATCTAATTAACTGGCTAGATGCTGTCTGTATATAATGAAACAACCAGATACCTACTTAGGGGCCAAACCCTGGTCCCTATGAATATTCTAGGTTATGAAAACAACTAGTAATTATTAATGAAGGGGCCACCCTACACCTTCTTCCTAGCACCGTGCTCTACCTTCTGGATGGCAAGAAGTTTCCCTCTCCACCCAGCTAGCCCTTGAGCAATCCAGCTATCTCTAACAGTCTGTGCAAAGGGAATCCAATTTGGAGTAAGAGCACATAGGGACCTGGGAGCAAAAGCTGTGATGATGGCCCCTGTCCTCTTTCCTTCTTCGATTTACCTAGCACACTTAGGTGATAGGGCTGGGACAATCACTAAACTTTTCCTATTCCCATGTGTTCTGGTGCCTGCTTGACCTATAAACCTTTTTTTTTTGGTGGAAGATTAATTCAGAGCTGCCTTTTTTGTACCTTTAATCAGACAGAACAAATGCATTTATTTTTAAACTCTTCTATCTTTTTTTTGTTTCCTTTTTTGCTCACGCTGAAAACCAAAATAATTCCCCCTCTTTATTGCATTTAAAAAGAGACAGGTGATCAGAGCAGCAAAATACATATAAATGTGTAATACACACAAACACACACACACACCATCCTATGTGTATGTATGTGTGTATGCATGTGTTCATCAAGAGGTAGAACAGCAATGCAGTCTCTTTGCCTGGTTCCTTAGCATCTCAGCCCTTGAAACATGGAGCTCGGTGACTGGTGGAGGACAGAGCATTCAGCTCTGAGCTGCGCAAAAATCCCCAAATCTGGGTTAGCTTTGCTAAAGGAAAGAGTGAAACCAATGTCCCACCTCAAATAAAGTAGCTTCAATTCTGAGCTATGAGTGTGTGCTCACGTATGGGTGCGTGTATGTGTTCATGTGTTTGCTGATCAACAGGATGGAGTGGCCTTCTCCCTCCCCCCTGCAGACCCCACTGCATTTGCCTGGCACTTCACCTGTCCTCTGTCTCTAATGCATTATTAGCCTCTGCATCCCCTTTCTCCAAGGTCCCCTGAAGAGGTGATGTTGGGGCATATGAGTCCTGGGCTCAGAGGGAAGCTGTTCCCTAGGGGGCGGGGGAGTCAGAGAAATTAGCAAGGGGGCATTTTCCACCTAGAGTGTGTTTTATTGCACATATGTTTCAGATATGTGTGATGCTATATGATATAAAATCTATTTTAAATGATAAAATTGGAGAATTTTCATGTTATTTTAAATACATAGCAACTATCTAAAACCTAGAAAATAAGACTAGATAACATTAAATGCATTTTGAGCTCTTGAAAATCTTCTGTGTCAGCCTGTATGTTTTAATCATTTCCCCCCACCTGCCCCATATGGCTCCAGTTGTATTTTAAAACTATACGTTTTGTGCTGCCCAACATTTCAGATTGTTGATGATTTAACAAATAATCCCCTTGCTGAAATTTCCCAGGAGCAAATTTCTGCCTAGGAAAAAAGATTCCCTTTGCACTGGGTCTTCTCTCTTCTACCAAACAATAAAGCATCTACTGGGTGCCAGGCACTATCCTAAGCATTAGGGATACAGAAAGAGGCAAAAGAAGCTCACAATCTAATTGGGGAGACAATATGCAAGCAAATATATACAAAGCATGCTATACACAAGATAAATGGGAAATAACTAACAGAGGGAAGGCACTAGAGTTAAGAGTGGTTGGAAAAGGCTTCCTGCAAAAGATAGTATTTTAGATGGGACTTAAGGCAGCCAGGGAAGCTAGTA